CCTTTAGTCCAAATCCTCATTCAGACGATTTTGGGACAGAAAAAGGTCTCATACTCTGGATCTAGCCTCCTTAGGCTGATTCATCATGTAAAGCAGTAAGCTTTACGTTCATGCATGGCATAAACAGCTCAAAATGCCAAAGCAAGCTCCATAAAGGTCTTCATGTATGGAGACTTGCCCAAAGCTTGATAAAGCTCGGATCTTTGGGCTCATACGGACTCATATACCTCAGATTTGTAGTCTCAACTTCCATGACCGGCTCAACAACTCCAAACCAAAAGATAGATGGGATAAAGCCCTAAAACTTCTCTTGAAAGAGATCTAACAAATGAAATGATCAAGGTAATAGCTTTATACCTCCATTTGACAGCTAAAACTGAAGGAACACTGGATCCAAAGCTTATTCTCGTTCCAAATCTCCTTGTCATTCAATTCTCTTCCAAAAATGCACTAGGACTCATGATCTTAGCCTTCCTCTCTCTCACAAAAGACTACAACTCGATTAGGGTTTCTCTCAAAAGGCTAGGATAAAAAGGGAGGCGGAAATGAGGTCTTAAGGCTCTTTAAATAGGGTGCAAGCCCTAAAATTAGGGTTTTCTTAACACGGACTCAACTCGTCGAGTCCAGCCTTCAACTTGATGAGTAGGCTTCATAACTCGCGCGCCAGCTCAACTCCTACACGACGAGTCGGGACCAACCAACTCGTCGAGTAGTTTCTACAATGCACTATAACTCTTCGAGTTTCGCATCCAAGATTCGGGGTGTTACACCTTGACTTGTCGGAAACCACCAAAAAAACACCTCCGGTAGGGGTGTTCTTGCTTAACCACAAAATAGAAAAGAGAGAAGGGAGAAGAGAGAAAATGGTGAGTGTTTAAGTGTGTTTTTGGGCTGCCATTTCCTGCATGAAGGACCTTTTAATAACTGATCATTTTTCTTTTCAAGTGGGTGTACTTTAGATGAGATTAACAAGCAATATCAAGACCTTTTCATCATGCATGTACTATGTCTAATTTATGGGTGTAGGATTGAGTGAGGGAGGTTAAAAGAAAAGAAAACATGGGGAGGGAGGGATGGAGTGTACGACTTGCTCTTGCATGACTGCTTTGGCTCTTAGAGTCCATCATGATTGAACTTGGGAAGAAAGCTAGGAGTATAAGTCATATCTTCCAAAAAAAAATGCAAGTATGTGTGAGAGAAGGGGAGAAAAACGTGGGTAGACTAGAAATTTGATTGCATGTGGTTCTAAAGTTAGTCATTTAAGTCGATGAATGATCTAATAGTACAATCCAAGGTGATGTCACACTTGTGAACAACAAAATGCATTTATATATCATTATAATTTCAGGTGAATCATATCCCGACATTTAATAATTTTCTTGGAGTTGGCGAACGATAGTTTCGGTTTCAAGGATTTCAAAAAGTCAGACGGATCCTAAATCCGATATATAAACTACTTGGAAAAAGGTGTTTTCAGGTTCGCGTCTAAAAGACCCGTTTTGACCGTTTTCGCGAGTTCATTAAATATTGGTGTTATAATTACGACGAGTATGAATTAAGCATTATACCCAATTATATTCCTTTTAAAAATTTATTATTATTATTTCTTTTAACGTGACAATCAAATATAAATATTTGTGATTTTTGTTACATCTACAACGATAGATGGCTTCTTGAATAATTTGAGATATTTCGAAAGTGATCATGAGTACCATACTTCCAACACGCTTTATTAACATATAATCTCATATATTTAGGTCTTAATATAAAAGGATTCGTGGCGGAATGATCGACAAACTTTACCTAAATTTTTCAATTATTACAACATGTTGCTTTCTGGTTTGTCTACATCATCAATCTTAGGGAGGAAGTGTCCCGTCGAACTTTCTGGTTTGTCTACATCTCTGGTCTTGACATGTGTCAGCTTCCTAGTGGGGCCACATGTCTCGTCGGGTGTGACCCATTTATTGGGTATTTTTTTGCATTATTCGATTAATCATAACTTTCGCATATGAGCTCTGTTCCAATGTTATTATATCTCCGGTTTCATATCAAAGAGTACTACAACTTTCATTTCGACTTCGTCGGCTAATTCACATTCTGTATTTAACTTCGTCATACGAACTCCGTTTTCGACGTTCTTTATATTGACATATTTGTATTTATATAGACCTCAACTTTCTTTTACATTATTTTGTCTAAAAAACAATCGATTTTTGTCTAGTATTTTATGACGCACATTGTTGTATTGTGTCGAACACGGAACTTCAAAAAATCATAACTTACCCATATGAAGCCAGGTTTTGGCATTTTTTATATTCACGACTTCGTAATTTCGATTACTACGGATTTCTTTTCGATTGTTTATCCTTAATAATCTTTTATTTATAATTGATATTTATCATTTTTCAATATCTTTATAACTGTATTTTATACAAATATTATATCACCATAATATTTATCCGTATAACATATATATAACAATCATATACAAATAACACTTTATAAACACATAACCTGTAAGAATCATTCTCATTTATTTACTTATTTATAATTCAATTTACATTAATTTGTTTACGTAAAATGATGATCTATTGACGATATGTCCAACGAAAATGTGAGCGTTACACTAACTAAGCATCTAGTTAACTTAAACCAGTGTTTTGATATCTATTGAAATACCCCCACATAAATAAATTTATAAGTCTTTAGAAATTCATTTATAATGTAGAACATGTTTAAAGTTTATTAGTTTAACTGTTAGTAAAGAGTTTTGTCCTTAAATTCTAGAAGATTATCAAAGGTTAATGATATGTGAGGTGGTAAAATTTTAGTTAAAAAACAAGACTTCATAGTATTCCACTTCAAAATATATCGTCTTCTAAAAATTGCATCATCTTCCTTTCTATGTTATTAATCAATGCCTAATTTGAGGTGTAATATACAACACAGACACACACAATTGTTTTTCCCATTTGAGTGTTATAATTTGGTTTATTTGCTTCAACTCTTCTATTAAGTCTAGTTATTGATTCTAAAAGTATTCGTTCTTTCGAATGGATTGTTATACATTGAAACGCAAATTAAATCACATAATCATTTTGAAATTTTTATAAGAAATCAATATTTTATGATTTAGATGCATTTGGGAATTTTACGAAATGGAACATATTACATATGACCTCATAATATTGTTGAAATTTAATCATGTAAACTTTATTATTGAGTTTGGAAATCATAGATTGAAGGATTAAAATCTAACCTCATAAACATGCAAAACACGCCGACATTTATTATAATCTGTTAAGTGCACTTCTTTCTTCCTACAAGATTCACAATCAAATTATACCAACGAAGCTCCAACTATCATACATTTTCTCATAGAGTATTCCATAGCCTATTTTCAGTTTTTTCGATAAAAACTATGACTTTTTCCACCACCTCTTCCTGTGAATGTCGTATTAAGGATATCTGCAAAAGATATTATTTTTGTTTAACTTAAAGATATTTTTCTATTTTATTTTGTGTATATCTTTCCAAAATTATTGAATCCAAGGTATATATATCATCAATGAAATATTACTCATAATTCGTAATTGTATAAAACCATAAAACATTTTTAAGTTTTTGTATGAAGGAAAAGGAAAAGGTTCTGTCATATTTTCATTAGGATATGTTTTTGTATTCTCTAATGCAAAAATGACAAATTTTTACTACTAAGTAAATTAAATATATTTACTCTCATATAACATGAAATGGATAAAAGCTTAGATTTCGATATTTAATAGAAAACAATACCAAAAACAAAATAAAAAGTAGAAAACAATTTAAAAATATTATATATCATGTTGTGTGTGAAGTTAAGAAACATTGATTGTAGAGTACTTAACATCTTTATCATTATAAACTTCTAGAACACGTTAAGTGTTCATAGCATTTCACTAAAAAATTTTATAATCTATAATATTTGATGAATTGCGATAAACATTATCATGTTACTAGTAACTTATCCCAACCATTTAAATTTGCTCTCAAATCTACTTCATTAGAATGTTGGTTTTATAGTAGTGTTAATTATTATCCTATCTCTAGAAAATAAATGTTAGATACTCTCTCTCTCTCTCTCTCTCTCTCTCTCTCTATATATATATATATATAGATATATATATATATATATATATATATATATATATATATATATATATATAACATTTAACTATCAGAGATGATGTTGGTATTTGATACCCGAATAATATCATCTGATAAAATTATTTATATTACAATCTAGATATTAAAATTAATATGGTATAAAAATATTTAATTTGGTACTAGACTAACAAGTAGATGATACATGAGAAAGTAATAATTTATAACAAAACACGACCGAATAAATGTATAAGGCCTAACCTTTACAAAAACACTTTTATTTAAGTCTAAATACTAAGTGTCTAGTTCATTTAAACCTATCTTTCGATACCAATTGTAATGTATCCCTCATAAATAAATTTAAATTGTCTTCGGAATTTCATTTATAAAGTAAAACATGTTTAAAGTTTAATAGTTTAATTGTTGTATAAATAGTTTCGACCTTAGACGTTTATTAAAGGTTAATGATATTTGATGAAGTAACATTATAGTAACAAAAGAAGAGTTTAATTTATTTCACTTAATGATATTTGATGAAGTAACATTATAGTAACAAAAGAAGAGTTTAATTTATTTCACTCCAAAATACATTGTCTTCTTAAAATTCCATGTTTTATCATTCTACGTTATATATATATATATATATATATATATATATATATATATATATATATATACTAGTGATGTTTTACGGAGCACAGCCCACGAAGGGTAATTTGGTAAAATTTTGTAGTTGGGTGGATTTTTAAAGTACAATGCCTTAATAAGCAAAAAAATTGAAGTTGAATGTTGTAGGGAAAATAGAAAATTATGAAGCTATAATTGAAGAGTTTTACAAATTCAAAATAGATTACAGCCAAATTTCTTATGGTCCAAGCCAGCTAAGAGCAACAATTTCGGCTAGGTATAAAACCTTCTTTAAATAAGTGAAAGGGTGAAAACCAAGTTAGGGTGACTCGTATAGAGAAGAGAATCCTTGATCCTGTGCTTGTTGTGCAGTCCATGGGCTAAGGTGCAATTGCCTTCCTACCCAATAGTGAAATCCTGCAAATATTTTCGAAGTTTAGTAATGTTATAATAACAAATGTGTAAAAGTAATGCAAGCATAAGGCTACAAGTCATAGGAGAACATTCTGCTGGTTAACCAAAAAAAGAATCATTGACCTTTTGATCAATTGTTAATGCATGTATTAACATTCCATGTTACAATTTCATCTATAATTTTAACAAAAGAAAAATTCTTACCATGGTTGCTCATGTGGAAAAATTCATTAAATTTTATTTAATTTTTGAAGGCTAAGACACACCCTCTAAATCATACTCCTAACTACTCTTTTGTCCACGACGGGACATGAGCTCTCGATCCTCATGGGAGGAACACCTTTTCAAACACCTTGATACTGCTAGACCAAAGGCCATTTGGTTCATTAAATTGGAATTAATAACAAATAAAATGATTTTTATATATTTGTTATGTTTTTTTTGCAAGATGCAGCCTGCTGTTTGTTGTCTTACCCATCAAGCATGTCCTTGGAAAAGGAGTCCATTAAGGTTAGAAATACAACCAATTTCCAGGTCTCCTATCAGCCGTTCAACTCGACATCCATGAAAAACGCCCATGCGGAAACAACCACACCATATTGCAATTTTGGAGTTCAGATGATTTTTATCAATATAAAGCAATCACATTTCAATTTTGGTCCTTGGGGAGGAGGGGAACCCACCGAACCCACTGCCACATCAGCTTTTCTCTTTGATTTTTCTTATCTTTCCCAACCCACAACATACGGAAATCCTATCTTTCTCAACCCACTCAAATTAAAAAAAATACTAAACAACTAAGGTACAAATCTTAAAACACACGGTACAAGAGAAAATGAGAGAGAGAAAGTAGAGAGAGAGAGGATGAAGTGGGTTCGTGAAACCAATTAAACAACCGGCTAAAGAGAGAGTGGTACTGGCGATAACTCTATTGCTAATTAAGATTTTACCTTGATTATTTTGTATTTTTTTTAATTGAGTGGGTTGAGTGGGTTGAGAAAGATAGGATTTCCGTGTGTTGTGGGTTGGGAAAGATGAAGAAAAATCAAAGAAAAAAGCTGATGTGGCAGTGGGTTCATTGGGTTCGGTGGGTTGGGAGGGAACGACTCCCTCCTCCCTTATTAGACGTATTTACTACAGTTTCGGAACTGCAAGAAGGCAGATGGTAAAACTTTTGGTGTTATTGATTCAAAATAAGAAATGAAAATAATGAAACTTCCTTTAAGCCGTATTAGCACATCCAACTAAAAAGGGGAAGCATACCGGGGGATGGATTGTCAAATTAAATTTAAACCACGTTGTTGGCTAGTGCCAGCAAAACATCTTCTAACTTCAAATAAAAATATTAAAACTCATCAAAAATTTAAATAATAACTTAAATTTAATAAAAAAAAAATGAGTGTTTGTTGATGGCATTTGAAGACACCTTTAAGCAATCCATTTCAACTGAAAGCATACTCTCAATATTTCCGTCCCCAGATAGGTCATTGATGGCACGAATACAATTTTCGTCTATCAGAATCATCATCCCATGTTTTCATTCTATGATAACAAATTAAAAAAAAAATTGAAAATATAAATCAAGCATACCATTTCCTTACCGGTCAAAACCCTTTTTTGTGTCATTGTAGGAAGAGCTTTTGCTTCATATTCAACTTCCCTTAGCTGATCCATCGTACCTGAGATCTCTTATTTTAAGTTCTGATTCAAACAGACATAAGAAGAGAGAAAATAATCAGCATTATAAAAAAAAGACATAAATTCAAATTTTTAAATAAAAAACTACCATTTATCACCCCAAGTTCTGCACAAAGGTTAGAAACTTCTCCATCTCTTGTCTGTCACTCTGTTGTGCAGATTTTAGAGCAGCCTAAGTTTCCATTATGATTTTTTTAATCTTTAAAAAAAAGTTTCTCAAATTATACATTGCTCAAATAATAGATAAGTAATTTTATGTATTCAGTTTACCTCTATGATACGTATTGTTGCTTCTTTCCTGTAACAACATAAATTACCTCATTTTCTCAGTGTTATGCATGGAAAACCTACATGACAAGCTGGCGTTCAAGATTTACTTGCTCAAGAATTTGGCTTCCAAAGATAACCCTTTCTCCGATAGAAGCCACCAATAGTATACAAGTTTTTCAAATGAAAATAATATAAGAATTTGGTACCTGTATTTTTGAATAACAGTGACTGCATGCCTGTTTCTCTAGCTCCTTCGCTCTATACTCTGCTTTCTAACGTTTCTCTTCTACATGACAAAGCTGAAATACATGTATACATAATTCTACAATTATCTCTGTGTTGTTATACTAATATTTTAATATAATTGGGATCTATAAAGATGGAATCACCTTATCTATAATGATATCATGCGCTTGTTGTAGCATATCAAGCTGCAATTACATGTTGTTTAACAACACCTCTTGTTCCTTTTTGAACTCCTTGAGTAATAATGCCAATGGAATCAAGATCATGGAAGGGTACAAACCGACCTCTAGGATGGTTTCTGAAATACAAAGGGAGATTTCTTTTTGTTTGTGCCTATATCAATGGAATCAAGAACATGGAAGGGTACATGCACAATAAGATGAACACCAAACTTCAGTATCAATGGAGAGAAATATGAAGCGAGAAGTACATGTAAGATCCCTCAGCTATGAAGCATCCAATATTCAAAATCTGGATGATTGCCGGTTCTATTTCCCTAATTAATAAACCAACAAAAAGGGGATATCAATCCAATATTGAATCCCTTCAATTTGCAAGCATCATAAAGCATAAATAACACAATACTAAAATTTAATTCAAACCTCACTTTAAGAAATGACCGCACTTGACCTAGACACCATTTGGAATCTGATGGTAGATAATAATAAAAAGGTTGCAGAAGGGAGAAGGATAGTAGTGGTAGATGTAGGCGGAGCCTTAGATTTGTGTACAAAGAATTAGATTCAATATCCAATGATTTATTTTGAATCAAGATAAGCAAAAAGGAAAACAAGAAAAAACTCACCTACAAGACAGAAGCACAGTGAGAGTCTTGAGTATTTGTAGAGAAACAATCCAACCTTATTAAACCTTAAAATCGATTGCTTAAACAGAAAGAGGAAGGTAATGAAGTTATTAAAATATTGAGGAACCCTAAATTTGAAAACCCAATTTATTTTGTTACCTTGATTCCATAGAATAAGCAGCAATGTCAGCAACACAAATCGCTTATCGTAGAGATGAGGGGTGGTGCTTCAAGTCCAAATTAAAATCTTGTCGAATTGGTAAATGATTTTAAGAAGTAGCAACAATAGGTGGCAACTGGAGGTCTATCAAGAGGTTGACTCGACAAAGAGAATCTGAGATTGTGATACACGTTTCCTCGACACTTCAAACCAAGCATGAAGTGGCAAGCAGCTTTGGGGAAACACCGCCTCCTTTAAGGAGGAAAACCCACGGTGAAGCCTTCTGCCTCAGCATGAGGTCAGGATGACCAGAAGCCAGCAAGAAGCCACCTCTCTCAGCTGGTAAACGGCGTCGTTTGTTGGACCCCAGTGTCACGTCACGATGAGTTAGGGATGAAGGGAGGTTGAGACAGGCAAGCAGCTTACCACCAGATGACGGAGGCATGAGGGGAAGCCAACAACCGTCGTCTGATGCATCCAACGGCCCTAAATCCAGCTCTATAGACACGGTCGGTAAGCAAGCAGCTCGTCGACGTAAACACCTTAGAATTTCAGAAGATGGTCTTGTATATAGGTAAATGATAGATATATATATATATATATAGATATATATAGATATATATATATTATAATATATATATATATATATATATATATATATATATGGAATGGGTTATTTGGAAACAAAAACCCCTAAAAAAACCTAAAAAATCATAAAAATGCATAAAAAAAGACCTAGAGATCACAAAAACTTTTTTTTGACATTTTTTATGAAAAAATCGTAGGTTTTTAAAGAAATTCGTTGAAAAAAAAACTTGAAAAAAAAACTTTTTTTTTATAAAAAAAAAATTTGATTTTTTATTTTTTTTCCAGCGAATTTTAATAAAAGCTGCGATTTTTATAAAAAAATTTCAAAAAAAAGTTTTGTGATCTCTAAGTATTTTTTTTATGCATTTTTATGATTTTTAAGGTTTTTTTTTAGGGTTTTTTGTTTTCCATAGAACCTAAACCTATATATATATATATATATATATATATATATATATATATAATATAGTGAGGTTCAATAAAAAACCATAATTAACTAAGGAACCAAGGAACCAATCGTGAGCGTCGGAAACATAACGATCAACGACCAAGGAAATAGATGTACACTTTTACATTGGACGCACACACACCGGATTATACCAAAAAATCCACTTTTACAAAAAAAATCCACCAGTTTTTTTCGTTTAAAATTTTTTTTAAGCCATGTTTTTTATCAAAAAAAAAACCGAATATACCGTTGTTCACGATTTTTCGTCCTCTTTCCATAGAGACTCATTATGATATATAAAAAACAACTTTTTTTTTTTCGAAAAAAACTCACGTTATTTTCTTTAATGAAAAAGTTAAGGTCTTTTTTTTATAGAAAAAATTAATAAATATATCAAAATTCATATTTTTTGTACTTTAAACATAAATTCATATTCATGTTAAAAAAAACGATATTTCAATTCAGATTCACATTGTGAACCTGTTCAGATTCATATTGTAAACCTCCTTAGATTCACAGTGTGCATAATAATAAGTCAGATTCACAGTGTGAATCTGAACTGATCGGAGCTTTTTCACATTGTGAATGTTAAAATTTGAAATATTTACAGTTTAGATTCACAGTGTGAATCAACACTGATCGAGTTTTTTTTTTTTTTTTTTTTTTTTGTGAACCTTCTCAGATTCACAGGTGCATAATAATAATTCAGATTCACAATGTGAATCTGAACTGTTCGGATTTTTCATATTGTGAATGTTAAAAATGAAATATTTACAGTTAGATTCACAGTGTGAATCTACACTGTCGAGGTTTTTTTTTTTTTTTAGTCGGTGTTAAGGTTCATTAATAGAGTACAAAATTAATATTTTTGGTATAATTAGTTTTTTTTTTGATAAAAATAAACTTAAATATTGAAAAAACTAAGAAAATTAAGTGTGTTTTTTTTTCGAAAAACAAAAGTTCATTTTTTATATATCATCATGAATCTCTATGGAAAGAGGACGAAAAATCGTGAACAACGGTATATTCGGTTTTTTTTCGATAAAAACTTGGCCTAAAAAAATTTAAATGAAAAAAATGAAGTAGGTTTTGTTATAATCCGGTACATGTGCGTCCATTATAAAGTTTTACAACCCTTCCTTTTGCCGTTGATCGCTTTAAATTCCGACGCTTTGGATTGGTTCCTTGGTTCCTTGATTAATAATGGTTCTCTATTGAACTTTTATATATATATATATAGATATATTATATATATATATATAATTATATATATATTTATATCTATATATACTATAATATATATATTAGATCTTTACTATCTTATAAAAGAAATCTCACTATTCTAAAAATAGATTGAATATAATAATATATTTTTTTAAGACGTCCAAACCATTAAGCTATAAGTACAACAACTCTCTAATATAATAATATTAAATTTTTAAATACAAATAATAAAACATCATGTATAATTTTACAATGCTACCTTTATCCTTTAATTATCTCCATCTCAACCTCATCAAAAGTGAATTGTCCGGTAAATCCCGAGTCTATGTTCAATACTAAAATCTCGGCAAATATCCGTGTATTCCCGTATATCTTGCGTAGCTTCTCTTCCATCGTAAAATCTTTATATCTCTCCACAATATTTCCCCTCCCGTTCTAATTTTTGCACTGAATTTCATTTATTCAAGTACTCCTTTTTATAGGTTTCTCTCGATCCAGAAGAAACCTTCTCCATTTCTCTAACCGTATATGTGATTACAGGTCCTGAAGTAAAAACCTTTTTACTGATGTTTGTATTGGGTTTGTTTGGTCACATGTATGATGAAGGTATCTCTATACACTCACGTTTATGTTTTTTTTCCTTCTCTCGATCATACGAAATTTTTGTACTTTTTGTTGGTTAAAAACTATAATCCCTCTATATTTCGAACTTGATTGTGATTTGAACTGTCTTTTTCTTCTTTGATTCTTGACTTTGGAATGTGATTATCCTTGACAAGGGGCAAGAAATTGGTACAATTGATTGAGGCCAAGCAACAATATGTAGAATACGAAACTGTTAATCTGTTAAGCAATAAAGAAAAGTAATTGATGTTGTAGATATGGTGTTGTTTGGGGCTCGTGTTGAAGGTTTTGTTCGATTTTCAGTCTCAATACCTCATTTTCATAGGCATCGGTACTGATATGAAGCCTAAATTCTTTTTACAGGAAAATGAAAACAAAAGGAGGATCATACGGTGTTTGGAACTGTAATTTTCTCCCCCTATCTATTTGTGTTTTCCGATCTAAGTTTTCTTATTATTTTGGTCTTCGGTATTTTGCTATTGTGTTTTCCGATTTAGCTTTAATGATTTTTGTTTTTATGTATTTTACTTGCAAATTAGATACCTATGAGCAATACAATTATGCAGGTGTGATTTACCAAGAACATGGTCAATTTAATAAATCCTGTGAGGTGTTGCGCAAATGGAACTATTGTTGGTAGGTTAGTTTATATCTTCTTGAATTTGCAAGTGTGAGTTAATGAAGAACCAACAAACAAATCCCAATTCAAATCTAAAGCTTTGAGCTTCTGATCTTTATTTTTAGGGTAGCCTATAGTTGTTTTTTTCTATGTTCAAGTACATTTCTATGCTCAAAGAGGTAAAATTAACAGACTCTCACATTATTACCACCTATCTTTGTTTTGAAGAAAAAGAGTAACATTCCACTGTTTTGAGTAAAGTCTTTAGGGTATGTTCCTTTATACCCATTAATTGGCTGCTTTCAAGTGGTTATCACATTGTGCATTAAAATGGTATTCAAGTCATATTCTCAATTAGACATGCACTGAGATTTAATCGTTTCATTTTGTTATGCAGGAACAAAGCACATTCATAATGAGGTTTCTTTTAGCTTTGGATTTAATATGATTATTTGACCTACTCTACATTTTTATTAAATGTAATGCAATGCCTTTTGTTATATATAAGGAAGTGGCTTTTCTCTAATTATACATAATCCAAAGTTTACCCCCAAGTTGTGTGATTAATCTTTTGGTTTAAAGCTTCAAGCTCAATTGAAATAAACCCCATATGTTTTATCCTTATGTAATAATCAAATTTTGATAAAGCTCTTCCATGTTTGGTTTAAGATTTTGACAAGAGATTCATTATGTTCTGGCTGGTTGGGAGGGCTAACTTCAAATTTATGACTTTTGCTTTTAGCTCTTCCAACGCAAAACAAGCTCCAAGTCATGAAGGTGATTTTCTAATATGAATTGTTTGATACTTTGGAATTTGGTTAGCAAGAAATGAGAAGGAATTAAATAGATAACCATTAAATATTTTTATTATTTTTATTTGTTTTTCAAATATTTTTTGTTCACTTTGTCATTTGATGTTATATTTAGAACATTGAGATTAATTGGTTGGTTTTCATGTGGAGGAAGTTGTACAAGTGAAAAGATTGCAGGTCGATAAAAGAATCCGTTGGTTAAAATAAGGTTATAAAAAGTATTGTTTTTTTAGTCTTTTTAAACATTCAAATTTAAATGTTTGGTTCACATTTGCACGTAAGCTATAAAAATCAAAGGATCGAAGGATTTCACATGAAAAAAATAAAACTAGAATGTGTGTATTTTATTTTTGATTTTTAATAGTGATTTTAATTTCAATGATTTAGATAGTAATAAAAAACCAACTAAATCAACAATATATATTTGCTTTTAATCTAAAATTATATATTTACTTTATCAAAAAAACCTATCTAATTTATTTTTGACCCAAAATATCAACATTTAATATAAATATCTTTTAATAGTATATGATATTATTAATATGTCATCTGTTCTTTGAAAAACAACTATATTCTGAAATGAAACTGTTTGTCATCCACCAAAAAGAAAAGTAATAGCCACATGAAAATAATATGCTGAAATAAAGCTAATCTCATCCGTTGTATTGGTTTAAAGTCAAGAAACTATTCGGCATCGGTCGTATTTCATATGTAGTATAATATTATATAATTTTATGAATTAGAACTCAAAGTGAATTAGTTACATCTTAAATCGATTATTAAATTCTACATCAACTTAATGTTTAACAACAAAGTTGTGTCTCGCAACATTGCACGGGTAATTTACAAATTGCAAAACATAGTTAATTGTGAAATATAGTTTTAGTTTTGAGTTATAAACTATTTTTGAGTGAAAAAATAATTTGAAATTTACAAGTTGCAAGATATTTATGAGTTTCACAATACATTTTTCTAAAAAAAGTCTTAAAAAGTATAAGAACTTATTTTTGCTATGAAAACCTTTTGAGTATAATTTCACAACTTATAACAATTTGGAGGTCATCAATAAAATTTAAATGTCTAATTAAAAATTTAAGAATTTTTTATTTGAGAAAAACATTTTCGGAATCTCTTCAAATCAAACAACCGACCAAATTCCAAATTTGTGTTATTCTTGCTATCTCTAAAAAAATTTGCATAAATGTTAGATGAAGCAAAGAAAAACTTATTATTTTAATGAATATTGTTTTTGAAAGATAGTTTTTTCAACAACAAATCTAAATCCACATATGTCTCTAACGAGATTTTAGAGTTTTTTAACAGCATATCTAAATTCATATATGTCTCCAACGAGACTTGAACTTTCAACCTCAAAGAAGGAATGTAACACCTGATACCGTTAGCCTAGAAACCCTTTGGTTTTTTTGAAATATAGTTGATTTTAGTTTTTTTATTACTATGTTTTAAGAAATTAATATATACAATTGATATCTTAATGGGATATCTTAAGTGGATAAATATAAAAAGACATTATTGTTGTTTTCTAAAACCTTTCGCAACATAATACATACAAAACACTTTCATTATCTAATATCAGTCATACCATCTTCACGTTGAGCATCCTAAACTCTAAACTCTTAACCCTAGACCGAGACCCCACACCTTAAACTCTAAACCATAAATCCTAAATCCCAATACCCAAAAACATCTTAAACTCTAAACCATAAACCCTAAATCCCAATACCCAAAACACGAAACCCTAAAACTATTCATTCCCCATTGAAAGGAATGTGATGGATCGAAAAAAAATATTCGTGTATGGCCAACATTATGTTGTATTGTCCAGAGGCATCTCACGTGTAAATACAAAAGTATTAGTAAAGCCTAATACAAATTTTAAAGGTGATGGAGTTTATACAACAAAAGTGGTGTATAAAAAATGTTGTGCGATTAATAATGTATAACCAGTCATGTGTTATTACATATTTTCATATTTTGTGTATTTTATATAATTCTATTATTTTTGTTTGAATGGCTAACACATTTCATATTTTGTGCCGCCTTAAACCGTTTCTTTTTATCGATTATTTGATGTATCATGTCACAAATAACGCCAAAGTTGGATTCTATTGTTTTAGAAATATACTATCTTTCAAACATAACACTTTTGTAAAAGAAACATACCGTCTAAAGAAATTATTCGCCACCGCAGCTTTGCGCGGGTCCATCACTAGTATATATATATATATATATATATATATATATATATATATATATATATATATATATATATATATATATATATAGGGAATGGTTATATAGAAAACAAAAAAACTCTAAAAATCATAAAAATACATAAAAAAAATACTTAGAGATCACAAAATTTTTTTTTGACTTTAAATATGAAAAGATCGCAGGTTTTTCTTTAAATTCGCTGAAAAAAAATAAAAAATCGACCTTTTTTTATTTTGTTTTCTTGGTTTTTTTTCAATTTTTTTTCAGCGAATTTAAAGAAAAACCTGCGATTTTTTCATTAATAAAGTAAAAAAAAAATTATGATCTCTAAGTATTTGTTTATGCATTTTTATGATTTTTAAGGTTTTTTGTTTTCCATAGAACTTAAACCTATATATATATATATATATATATATATATATATATATATATATATATATATATGGAAGACATTGGATGACATGTTAACCTTTATCTGTAAGAGATGTTGATATTTAATCCAATATAGCATCAACTTTTAGAAATATTTTTTTATTAAAATACTTACATTAAAATTAATGTGATATAAAAATATTTGATTTGATATTAGACTCTAACATATGGATGATACACGAGGAAGTAACAATCAATAACAAAACATTAATTAATGAAACTATTAGTCCTAACTGTTAACGTATGGTCCAGACGTCAAAACTTGGCGCACCAGCCTTGTCTGACGCCCTCCTGGCGCTCGCCTTCCAGTCTGGTCTGGCGTCTGCGCCTGGCCCTTGCCTAGCGCCTGGGTGCTCTTACCCAACTCCTTGCTATTTAGGCTTGAGTTGGACTGGCCCAAGGCGTGACCTAACTCTTTCCCTTAACGTAATTGTCCCATATAATTAGAACATGATCTCCTCCATGAGGAGGGATCCAAAACGCTAGAGCTTCCAACAAGCTTTTAGTCACCCTCTCTAACCTAGACCTTCATATCAGCCTCCATGGTTAAACACACACCAATATGGTTCTCTCAAGCTAGGGATAACCATCTCATCTCTACCCACCGATCTAACTTAATCGTCAGAGCTTGCTCCCGGGGCACATTCCCCAGGGAAACTATAACAACTTTGTTGTGGCTGCAGCTTAGGTACCTCGCTGGAACCTTGCTGACGGAACCTCCTCCAGATCTTCGATCTGGATCCAACAAAGAAGACCCAGCGGCCTGAGCACATGTCGCAACATTTGGCGCCATCCGTGGGACCAAGAACAAATATCTATCGTCTCATGGTCTCAACCTCAGTTTCGCCTTCAATCTGTTCAGATCTTTTGTTCTTCGTCTCAGATTAGCCCAGATCTGTTCATTTCTACCACTATTTGTTCATATCCATTTGGCTCTAACCAAGATCTGTCCGGATCTTTTTACCAAACGTTCAGATCTTTAGATCTGCTTCATTTTTCCTTTAGATCTCCAGACTTGTATGGTTTTTGCTCATCAAGGCATTTCTCGGACGTAAGGAGATCTTCTCAGATCCGTTTTTGTTTGTATTTTGGCGATTTATTCAGAAAAATGGGGAGAAAAGAAAGCTTTATGAGTTTCTATGCCTTTGTCAGTTCATATTCCCAGAAAATCTTCTTATTTGAAGTTTTTATGAATATTTGATATTTTATGAGGCATATGCTCGTAAATGGTGCTATAATGTTTGTACATTCCAAAACACATCCAAAAAAATCCCATAAACTTGTAGATATTTATTTGATGTTCACCAAAATACAACAGATCAAACCTAACCTCAAAAGTTGGATAATTTTACAACAATAAAAAGTACAAGAATGTCTCTCGTTTGCCTATGATTAGTTCATATCAAAATAAAATCATATTAGTTGATGATTTTCTGTGCAAAACATAATTCTTTGAAGTTGTTATTTGTACACACAACTTTAATGCTTGTACAATTCATAAAATTCCAAAAAAATTCATTTATTCTTTAAGCAAAATACATCAGATATTTTTTAGAGTCAACCTCCAAAAATTTACTCTACCTATTTACATTTTACTGCTTGGTAAAAAATAAAAAAAGGTAGTAGAAATGGTATGTGTTGCTTAGTACAAACCTCAAAAATTACAAGTTACAACTCAAATGTTGTACATAAAAATTAGACAGGAGTGGCCATGTTAGTTTTGTCTATCATGAGACGACAAAAAAAGAAAAGGAGTGTACAGTGTATAGTAAATTTTTGGACCAACAATGCGACACAAAACAATGGGACCCACCACGCCTCCTATCATACAATCTACCATTTACAAGTTACTGTACAAGCAAAAACAAAACATTAAAAGTTGCTGATGCTTTTGTCATACCACAACCGACCAAAAAAACAAGGTGAAAGATGGCTAGCACACGAATCCCATAGTTGGTCCCACCTAGACCATCTCCTTCCTTGAGAAGTATCCCAAAAACCCACTTCCGGTGGTCTGCATCAACTTCCAAATACCTCAGAGACAGCAGCTCCAGTGAAACAAGGTCGACCAACTGGCTGTATTTTCGATTTAATGCCGCCGACTGGAGCTGTATAACCACAAGTCGACGGCTTCACTATCCCATTGCCACATGACACTTCCTCACCTCCCGACCACCATAACAGTTTTAAGGCAAGCTATTATCACCGATCATCTCCAACAACCTTTGTTCACTACGACCTCGATCGCCGGTCCCTGTGTTCGATCAACCATCACCATCGGAACGCAACTGAGCAACGTCGCCTGCGAGATCGCGTCTTCGACAACGCTTCCATTTTCCTTTACCACTCATTGTGGCTGTCAACAATGGCAACTTCAGTTGACCACCGTCATTGTCGGACCACCTTCTTCCTCAATAAATAGCACCGGTCGACCGCCTCCCTCGACCACCTGTAGCCGTCGTCCAGACGTCACCGACCACCAACACTAGTCTTCTCAACGCATCACTATCACCGCCGCCGTGTGCCAAAGCCACAACAATACCTCCGCGATTCGCTACCGACGGCCGGAACCATCGCCGCCTCATGCTACTTCGATCCAACAGCTCCACCGCTGATCTCAGTCAATGTCAGACCATCTCCAGTCATCAATAGCCCCATGGTCTAATGACCCCCGGTAACAAATCTACGTCACCGGCGAGCTAATTGCTCCGATCTCCACTTACAGTTGGCGAATCTTCGACGAAGAGCACCAAATCACTTCCAGTCACCCACCTTCGCCACTGGATGCAACTAACCAAGCGTCACCAACAGAGCTTGATGCTCCGATCACTTTTGCAGATGGTGAAATCCAGCGGGTAACCACCGGGAATATCCTGATGTCGTCACTTCCAATGGATTAAAAAGGTGGGGATGCAGCTGGAGGACCTTTTCTCCAAAACTTGATAAGAAATCATAAGTGGGCCTACTCCTTGATACCTAATCTGGATCAGCCCACAACTAATAGAAAAGAGAATCAGGCCTAATTCATTTTAAACGGGCTGCAATGCTCTACATGCGTTGCTAACTTTTCAACTTGGGCTCCTCTTAAACTATCTTTACCATTTTATTGGGCTAGTTCATCAAAAATTAAATTGGGAGAATAATTAGCAAAATGGGCTCCTCCTAAGTAACCTATTTTATTGGGCCATCCCAACAAATAAAATAGGCTAATTTTACAAAATAAAAATCAACCATTTACGCTCGCGTGCCGCAAGCTCCACTCAACTAAATATTCTTTTAGAATAAGCATTGCAGTCCGGTACACCCGACGTTTCCAAAAAAAAAGAGAGAATGGAGCTGGGATGATAGCGTTTCTATCCTGGACTCCCCAAAGTGGGCCAAAAAATTCCATCTCGGAAGATGGTTGTCAATGCTCATGCAAAACAAACTATGTAGATGATTAATTGGTGACATCCCCCAAGGCACGATAAAAACGCCACGACATACATGTTGCATATTCATATAGCAGCCTCACTATACTTTCTATCATCGGGAGGACTTGTTGATGTCAGGTCCATTAGCATTGCCTGGACAACTCTGGCGTACCGGCCAAATAGTGGAGACGCACCAGAACGAAGCTCACGTCTTAGAAGCACGACGGGAGGCCCATCCCCCGGACGTGGAATGCGCACAATTCGCGCCACTCTTACTCCTAGAGCAAGGAGAAAAAACAGAATAAGACACAATAAGGGTGAGGGCAATATGATCTAACTCCAAGTGGATAATCACACCCCAACAATTAGCTCTTGTTCTGGGCCCATTTTCATGTAAAAGATTATTCAGCCTTTATATCATTTCAATTAGAGGTTGTGCATATTTATTGAATGATAACAAGGACTGATCATCCGCATCACTTGAGCGAAATCGATGCGGGAATGCAGCCAATAGGTTTTAAAGGCTCATAACCTTTCCCTAAACATGTCAGCCTAATACAAAGCTCCATTACCTTTGCCTATGACATGAACAAAAGCTTTAAAGGCACATAACCTTTCCCTTGATATGAAAACACCTAAGTCCTAAACACCTCGAGGTGACGATCTCGACTTAACTTAGATGACTAGGCCCGGAATGCAATACTCCTCGGCCCAAGACTTAGAGCAAAGTCTTAAAGGGTAACTAGAAAACTTTGCCTAAAGGAGAGTACTCTAATAAAAGTGAACTGTAACGCTTGGTTCCCGTATGAGCTTATTTTTCCAAATTGTTTATATTTTCTTTGGGACACGCCGTATTGGAAGCTTCAACATGGCGTGCCGAGATAACTTTGGCCGCGGAGACTAATGAACCAACACGATGAGTCGGGGTGCCTCAACTAGGCGTGTTGGCAGCTGGGAAGGAAACCCTAATTTTTTAGGGTGTTGCACCCTATTTAAAGGCCTTAAGTCCCTTGGATGGCCTCCATACCAGCCTCCTCTATCCAGAAACCCTAAAAGTGTGTATCATCTTCCTTAGTGAGTGTGTGAGCTTGTGGAGAGCCTTGAGTGTTGATTTTTTTGTACTCTTTTGAAGGAGCTTTGAAGTTTGATGGTGTCTAGCTTGGAGGGAAGGATTTAGATCCAGAATCTCCCCACTTGTTGCATTCTCTTTGAGGTATCAGGTTTATACCTTGCTTTTTTATGATTTAGATCTCTTTGTTTTGGGGTTTTATCTTGATTTTGGGATCATTGTCGGATTGTCCAAGGAGCTGAGTGTTTTATGGGTTTTCATGTTAGATCTGACCATTTTGTGGCCTCATTTGGCTTAAAGTTGAAAGCTTTATTAGGTTCTAGGCCGCATTCATGCATCAAGTCCTTTATTAAGCCCTTCTTGAGCTCTAGAGCTTCTTTTTAGTATACATGGACGTAAAGTTGGAAGCTTTACGTGATTTTCCAGCCTTTGGATGCCAACTTTGCATTTTGGGACTATGTCTTTGGAGATTAAGAGCTTAATGGGTTAAGCCCTCACTTTAATGAGCCTAGGGTTTGGGTTTTGACTCATTTTGGTGGTTTCTAAGGGTAAAGTTGGAAACTTTACCCTTCTAGACATCATTTTGGTGGAGATCTGAGCTTTGGAGCTCCTAGATTTGATGGAAATAGCTTAATGCATTAAGTTGTTGGATTTCTGGCTAACTCGGTGTGTTCATTAGTGAACACCGCGAGTTGATATGGTTTTTCCCGATCTAGGAACGGATGAAGAAACACGGCCTGTTGAAGAACAACACGATGTGTTTGGTCAACTCGGACCGTTGACCTGGACTTTTGACTTTTGTCTTTGACCAAGTTTAGCCTATAAGGTGTTTCGGGGAATTTTGAGATGTATTTAAGGAATTGTTTATGTTTTAGGGGTTGATATTCGGAGCAAATACCTAGTCAACTATCTTTCAGTATCTGAGGTGAGTCTTCTCACTACACTCACGGGTCAAAGGCACCAAGGCCGACCCATTATTTGATATGAGATGTTTAGTCGTTAAGTATACAATTGTTTGCTAATTGATCTATGTATATACTTATGTGAAGACCATGGGAGGAGCCCATGGCACTTAGCAAGACCATGGGGGGAGCACATGGCTCGGGGACACAAGACTATGAGGGTAGTCCATGGCATTCCAAATGAAGACCATAAAGGGAGTCCATGGCAACCTATATATATTTGTATGCATGGCAATATGTGATTATGTGTTTCATGTGTTTTGGGAAACTCACTAAGCCTGTGCTTACAGTTTTTGTTGGGTGTTTCAGGTACTTCTGGTTCTAAGGGTAACAGTCTGGCTTGATGGCGCAACATGCATTCTCCAGTATTTTTGCACTTAGTTGTGATAATATGGTCTTTTATAAAACTATGGTTATGTAATGAGATTTTTGGAAACAATGGTGGTTGATATTTATATTTATAAAAGCTTAAATTTTCTATAAAATTTTGGGCTGTTACAAGTTGGTATTAGAGCCTTGGTTTGAGGGATTCGGGCACACTCTCGGGTGTGTCAGAACTCAAACTGAGGAAATGGTAAACCTTTTTTCAAAAAGGAATCAAAAGTTAAAAGTTTCTTGAAGACGGTTTTTGTATGTAAAATGGGGAGAATGCAATGCCCGTAATCGGCTGAGCTCAAGTAAGTATTTCCGATGTGCTAGCCATGCTATAATTATATTTGGAAATTGATTACTTGCTATGTGTATGGTTTCAAAGTTGTATATGTTTAGGATTGCATAACCCTACAATGATGAATTCTGCCTTATTCTTGTTCCTTGTTTGGTTGTGGTTTAGGGTAGAAGCTTATTTGGCAGTCTATGTGATTCTATTTGTGTATAACTTGCATGCATAGGGCAACCTGTTGTGATTAGTATAAGTTTCTGGTTTAATAAGGATTGAGGAATCCTAGAATAATATAGGATCTGAATTGGTGTTGTGTTTTGTGGATTATGGTTTGTAATTGGGTGGATTAGGGGTATCAGGTGTGACCTTGGGGAAGGTACATGTAGGTATGAAAGGTAGTATTGGGCCCTTACTACTGAAAGCACATGACCTGTACCCGAAGCAATGTCAGATCTGGAAGCTTTAAGGAGTCCATTGAGGAGGAATCCCCTTCGAGTTCCTTTTCTTTTGTTATCATGTGGTATTTTTTTTCAGTTGAGGATGGTGATGATCACACGAGGTTCGGGTTCAGGATCAAGATCAGGTTCAGGCTCTGGTGTAGAGCCTATTGATGAGAGGCTGCACGATCTTATCGCGGCTGAGGTTACTCATGGCATCCTTGACGCTACCCATGTGATCTTTGGTACTGTCAAGGAGAGCATCATGGAGATCATGGAGGAGCGGCTCAGGTCTTTCCGAGTCGAGATTGTTGCAGGCCAGATTGGGGCCCGAGCTCCCTCGTTCTGGGAGTTTAAGGCGTGTGGTGCGCCTGAGTTCTTCTGGGTCAAGGATCCCATCACTAGTTGACACTGGGTGGCAGACATGGAGAATGCCCAGTGTACGAGCTTTTTCCCTGAGGCGACAAAGGTAGGGTTCGCATCTTGTATGTTGAGGGATCGAGCACGATGTTGGGTCATATGGATTGCATCAGTTGTTTTATTATTTAGTTCATGTTTTGTATAGTGGCTGGGCCTGTCCACCCATTTATTTATTATTAGGGTTTTACTATTTAAAGTGCATGCATGCACCGTATCTTGTAATCGTCCAAGTTGTAAACCCTACACAACCTTTACAGTAGCGATTCTTTATCGAGCTCTTCTAAGGCTGTGCTTATTAATCATTCGGCACAACTTTGATCTTCTTTTTGTGTTTTGATTCTTTTACCTATTTGAATCTAATCGATCATATAAGTTTTATTCTTATCAATTGGTATCAGAGTCGGAGACTGTGTAATCCATACGCATCTCTTCTGTTAAAAGGTTATTAGGGTTTCCGCTTTAATAGGATCTGGAGTTAGCCATCTTCATTGTGTTCATTGATTATAGACGCTGAATCTTGATATTTA